TGCCCTACTGGCAGTGAGCTTTCTAGTTCAGTCCTCCTGACACCAAAGTTCTGGGAGTAGTCATGGTCACAGCTGTTCCTAATGCTGCCTTTCTGTGCCAGCTGAAAGTGGCCCTGCGTAGGGAAAAAAGCTGGTGAGCTCCAGCTGTATTGTTCACCCACATCTGCAATCACAAAGATGCAAGAATTAAGGTTGCTCAAAGGTCTGGTCACCTGCCACCTGCCTGGAAGCAAGCTACAGATTTCTACAAACAGGTTAACAGACCAAAAGCTAAAGTGCATCCATAAAATGAACATTTATTTACTGCCTCAAATCTATGGCCTGATACCACCTATTAATGTCGGTCAGGACAGGCAAGGATATACTGGAGGACTATTACAAATACCACCTCCCAAGTCAATACAGCCCCACTCTATTGATCTAAACAAAGAACCACTCATTTGGTAGAGGAGATTTTGTTCTGCCTGCCCCAAAGAGGTTCTCATCTATGCTAGTCTGGCAGGATTAGTTAAAATTAGCCCAAGACTCAACCGTTCCCTTGCCCTATTTATCCTCTTGGGACTTGTAAGCAGTCACCGAGTAGAAGTCACTCAATTACTAAGGTAAGAACCAATTAAAAATGTAAATAAAAAGCAAGGGAAGTTTTTAATTCTATAGTACACCTTGCCATACACAGCCAGCCTTTTAGTAAAGGTGTGACAAGAATTAGTCTTCCCTTTGTGCTGAAATCCTCCCACCCCTGGATGAAGAGCAGGCAGAGTCCCTGAGGGTCAGGCAAGGGGTGGGAAAGGGAATCCACACAAATCCATGCTCCTTTTGTGATGGCAATGCATAAAGGAGTGTTTGCCAGGTCAGCTTCCACTTGGGACGTTCAGAGGAAGCAATGTATCCACCAGTAAAAGCTCTTCGTTTTCTTTTAAGGGTTGTCCAAAGCTCAGATACACACTTTCCAGTGGAAAACATACTGCCCAGCCCCAAGGGGACTGTGCACAAACCTAACAATGCTGAGGTGGTTTCCTACCAGACAGTTCGAGTCCACATGGTGAAGCCTAGAAAGCAGACTCCTGGTGTTTGCTTCCTCTGCTGGTTCCTCTCCTCATCACAATGGACCAGGTACTTTAGCAGGACAAGAGGCTAGTGTGGGGGCTGACAGAAAAGGGAGAGGGGGGAGAACCCCAGAATATGAAGCCAAACTCCAAACTATACTCTGCTAATCAGTTTTTTGATCAAAAATTCAAAATAGAGAAAACCACAAAGTACAAAAGCTTTTCTGATGCTTTTCATTATCACAGAACACGCCACCTGTAATGTGTGCAAAGAGGAAATGAAGGGTGGTAGGAGAGAAGTCGAGTTGGGAAAGGCTGGGTGGTCATTTTACTTCTTCTTCTTCTTGTCCTAGAAATGAAAAATCACCCAATTTAATTTTAGGTATCTGTCAAATTAAAACTTAAGTCAGCCAATATTGCTGCCTTCGGTTATAGGTTAGAAGGGTTCAGTACAACACAAAGGAATGCGAAATACTCCATTAGCTCAGCAATCTCAATCTTAACTATCTTTCACTAGTGGCTCCCAACGTTGCTAGAGTAAGAGAGACATGAAATGAGTTAGCAGCATCATGTCCCTCCCCTACTATTTATTATGTGAGCTGCATGACTCTCACCTAAGAGTCAAACACGAGACCAACCAAGACAGTCAACTTTCCCTAAGGTCTGGTAAGTGCTACACTCTGAAGGAAGGAAATGAATCCTGGCATAAACTAACACTCAGAAATAGTTTTGTGGGATTCTTCATTCAGTCTTACAAATGAAAGTTGCTTTGATTTTCTAAAAATGTGGTACCAACCAGATAACCACCAATTCCATTTATTCATTTAATTCTACCACCACTCCCCAATGTCTATTTTCTCCTGTGAGGGTCTGTAAAGCTAAGTTCATGCTTTCATTTGTTCATCCCCTGCTGGACTGTATCACATCTGTCACTTATCCTTTACGAAATGCTAGGGGAGGGGATCCTGGTAACGAATAGAAACATATTTACAAAAGCTGACTTTCAATATTGCACCATGGAATATCTTTTTCTGAGTCATAACAGTCTTTGTTATTACAGAGTTGATTATAAGTCAGTGACCAACAGAACTGCCCCTTTGGCTGCCGGCTCTCATCTTTTATGGGAATAGACTGCTAGGATTTTCTCCAGCACAGAGCTGAGTGGGTTGTAAACATTCCAGTTTGCAGCCAGGGGTTAAGAGTTGTGCTACCATCGTTGCCAGCAAACTATCTTTATAGTCTTTTAAGTCATTTAGTAGACTCTGTTTTAAGTTCTTTTCCCTCTGATGCTAATCTCAGTATTCACAGTTGGTTGATTTTTTTTAAAAAAAAAGTTGACTGACTCCACTCCTTTGTCTTCATCAACTAAATCATCTGACTTGCTTCTTACCCAGTGATTTGCCTGTCTTATAGCTACCCTTGCTCTACACAAAGATTAGACACTTTCATATTTGAAACTAACAGAGATGCTGAGCTCAGAGGCATTCTATCATCTTAGCTGGTGGGATGACTGACCTTCTCATTCATAGCCAGGATCATCATGAGTTTTTTGAATAGAGTAACAAAATCCAGGAAGAGGTCAACACAGTGCCTGAAAGAGAAAGATCAGGTTATGAAATAGGCTTCTTCTTCTTCTTCTTCTTACTGTATTTCCAAGTCCACAAAGGTGCAGAATAAAATCTCACCCCTAGCCCCATAGTCAGCTCCTCCAAGTCTTCCGAGTAAGTAAAAATCTGGTGTGTGAGAGCCTTTTCAATTCTGAAGTTATGTAGCAATTTGGAAATATGCTTGCAAACCTGAATCTATTGCTAACTAGTTATGAGACTTGACGAGAACTGTAAAGGATTACTACACTAAAACAAAGCAAAACCATAAGTAAAATCTAAAACAAAAATGTACTTATACATACCTTCTTTTCATTGTCACAAGTTCAAAGAACAGAGAAAATAAAGTGAAAAATTCCTATTCCTTTTATCCTGCCTAGAAATAATCTATATCTATCTATCTACCTACCTACCTACCTACCTACTTACTAAAAAAATGTTTCTTTCAGGAATTGAGGGAAAGTATGCTACTTAACAGTTTTAAAAACCTACCACATATATTTCCAAATCCTGACTATTCAAGTTTAGCCAGAGTTACCTAGTCTACTCTTAACTCCTACTGGTAAGTACAGTAATATGGGTTAGGAAAAGATTCAGAAAATAGTCGGGGACTAAAATAGCATCCCTTTTCGCTCACTGAAGACCAATTCTCATACTCACCAGATATAATCCTTGTCTCCATTTTCAGCCTTTTCAATAATGAGTTGAGTATCAAAAAGGACGAAGCCACACATCACTACCAGCCCCATATACAAGTTTGCCTAATTAAAGAAAAATGAAATTACCATGTTTGATGCTCTAAAGAAAAAGATATCCTTTCTTCTATTTCTTAGCTTCCGAAGTTTATCAAAATTCTAACCCCGAGAAAAACCCCAAAACTAACTTTACGAGCATTAACATTAATAGGAACTGAAGTCTAGGGTGAAGATTGCCACATTGTATTTCCCCTAGAAACAATTCTACATTCATCTTTTTAGATCACTGGAAGAGCTTTGCCCATTTTAATAAGCCATTAAGAATGGCCCTTAGAGGGAGCTCTGGTGGCCTAGTGGCAAGAAGCTGCACTGCAATCCCAGAGGTACACAGTTCTAACCCACCAGAGGCTCTGCTGGAGAAGGAGGGGCAATCTCCTCCTGTACCAGTCAGATCTGATTTGATGGTACACACACACACAAATAATAAAATAAAGACTGGCCTTAGATAAATATTTTCTTTTCTCAACAATAACTAATCCCTGTTAAGTATGACTTATCGCAGTAGAGGTTCCAGTTTTGTGGGGAGACATGAACAGTATTGCCCAAAAGAAGGTAAGCACATCCCTGCTTTAATGCATCCTGCCTCAGTTAAACTGGGGGTGGGGGTGGGGTGGGCGGCGGCAAAAGGCAGTAAATGCTACTGCAAAAGTTACATGCAAAGTCTCACCTGGAAGAGCCAAATGGATCCAAAGAAAAGGTTGCCCAGGGAGGACAAGACCAACAGGCTCAAAGCTGACATCAAGACACCTGTAAAAGAGGAATAGTAAAAGGTGTAAAAAGATAATAAAAAGCAAGAAAAGTATCCATTAAGGCCATTTCCTTTTCGTATTTCTATCCCAACCCCATCCTCCTAGAAAAAACTCTGCAACCCAAGAGCCAAAAGTCATCCAGGGCTCAGAGTAGTCCTAGAGAGGACTCTGGACAGCATGCCAACTCTCTCCCACACTTACCTCCTAGGAAGAGGTAGGTACGGCGTCTGGCATAGAGTGCGCTCAGGGTGAAGCAGGTGAAGATCATTGCTGTGCCCATGAAAGCAGTGGGAAGGATGCTATTAAAGAAAAAAGCCCAATGAACTGATACAGTGTAGTATTATTATTATTATTTTTAATTTTAGAGGCATTATTCACAAAGGTAAAAAGTCATAAGAGGGCACAAAAATAATTACCTGGGGTTGATAGAAATGCATAACTCCAGGGCAGGGCCCAGGCCAACTCCTAGAAAACAAAACATATGACTACATCAGCCATCAGTGACTAGTGAAGAGAACTCATCAAAAAGCTGATCATTAATAGAGTAAGTATAAGCATGCACCCAAAAACAAACAAAATATGGACTCCTGAGAGCTGTTCAACTCAATTTATTTACAGACACAGCTGCAAAACTTTTTAGCCTCAGAAAGTCTGTACAGACATGTTAAAAATAAAAGGCCAAAGCAAAGATGGCATACCAAATATTTACAGCTACATTAAAAGGCTGCAAAGTTCTGAAGAAATGGGCCAGATCAGAGGAGAAAAGGACAAAGAGTAAAGCAATGCCTTGTGGCCAACAAGCTACTAGCCACACAGGACTGAATCTCTTTGTGGCAAAAAAGGTCAGACCGGTTTGGCAGGGGCAGCTGCCAACTAGTGATACCCTGCTCCAGCTTCAGTACTTCCTCCTCTGGCTACTCATCTC